CTTAAATTTATGGATATAGATTTTGTGTTCTCCAAATTTTCCAATATCATTTATTAGATTTAGTAGTTTTTTTGGTGGAGTCTTTAGAGTTTTTTATATACAATATCAGGTCATCTGCAAATAATGACAGTTTTACTCCCTCCTTTCCAAGTTAGATGCCTTTTATTTCTTCTTCTTGTCTGATCACTATGGCTAGAACTTCCAGTACTATGTTGAATAAGAGTGGTGAAAGTGGGCATCTGTTTCTAGGTCCTAATCTTAAGGAAATGCTTTCAGTTTTTGTCCATTGACTATGATGTTGGCTATAGGTTTTTCATAAATGGCCTTTATTATGTTAAGTATGAGCCTTCTATTCCCACTTCGATGAGAGTTTTCTGATCATAAAAGAGTGCTGGATTTTATTGATTGCTTATTCTGCATCTGTTGATATGATCACGTGATTTTTATCTTTCATTTTATATATATATAAATAAAATATATATATTTTAAAATAAATATATATATAAAATAAATATATATTTATATATCTCACATATATTGGTTTGCAAATAATGTACCAACCTGGCATCCTTGGAATAAATCCCACTTGATCATGGTGTATGATTTTTTTAATGTTTTGCTAGATCTGATTCAGCAATATTTAATTAAGGATTTTAGCATCTGTGTTCATCAGGGATATTGGCTTATAATTTTCTTTCTTTGTTGTGTCTTTATCTGGTTTTGGTATTAGTAGAATGTTGGCCTCTAAAGCTTGGAAGTCTTACCTTCTTTTGAATTTTTTGTAAAAGTTTGAGGAGGATAGGTTTTAGTTCTTCTTTGAATGTTTGACAAAATTTGCCCATGAAGCCATCCAGTCTGGGACTTTTTTTTTGCTGGAATTTTTTTTTTTTTTTTGATTACTGCTTTTATTCATTAGTATTTATAGGTCTATTCAGGTGTTCTGCTTCCTCCTGTTTCAGTTTTGGAAGATTGTATGTTTCTAGGAATTTGTCCATTTTGCCCAGGTTGTCCATTTTCTTGACATATAGTTAGTTGTAATAATTTCTTACGATCATTTGTATTTCTGTAATTTTAGTTATTACCTCCCCTCTTTTATTTCTGATTTATTTATTTATTTATTTATTTTTTATTTATTTGAGTCCTCTCTCTTTATTTCTTGACGAGTCTGGTTAAGGGTTCAGCAGTCTGGTTTATCTTTTCAAAGAATCAGCTTTTGGTTTCATTGATCTTTGTTTTGTCTTTTTTTTTTCTGTGTCATTTATTTCTCCTCTGATCTTTATTATTTTCTTTCTTCTACTCACTCTGGGCTTTTCCTGCTATTCTTTTTCCAATTTCTTTATCTGTAGTGTTAGATTGTTTATTAGAGATTTTTCTTGCTTCTTTAAGTAGCTCTGTAATGCTATGACCTTCCCTTTCAGGACTGCTTTTGCTGTGTCCCACAGATTTTGGGTTGTTGTGTGTTCATTTTCTTTTGTTTCCAGGTAGCTTTTGATTTCTTTCTTGATGTCATTGGTAACTCATTTCTTATTTAATAACATGCTGTTCAGCCTCCATGTGCTTGAATATTTTGGCACTTTTTTATTGTGGCTGATTTCTAGTTTCATGCCATTGTGATCTGAGAAGATGCTTGATATGATTTTAACTTCTTGAATGGGTTAAGACTCATTTTGTGTCCTAACATGTGGTCTATCTTTGAGAATGTTCCATGTACACTTGAGAAGAATGTATATTCTGCTGCTTTGGGATAAAATGTTCTGTAAATATCAGTTGGATCAATCTGATCTTGTGTGTCATTTAAGGTTGCTGTTTCCTTGTTGATTTTTTTGTCTGGATGATTAATCCATTGATGACAGTTAACAGTATTGCTGTTGATCTCTCTTTTAAAGTCCACCAAGAGATTTTTTTTTTTTTTAATAATATTTATATGCTCCTATATTGGGAGCATATATGTTTATAAGGGTCATATCCTGTTGTTAGATCGATCACTTTATTATTATGTAGTGACATTTTTGTCTCTTGTTATGTTGTTTATTTTGAAATCCATTTCGTCAGATGTAAGTATTGCTACACTAGCTTTTCTTTTCATTTTTGTTTGCATAAAATATTTTTTTTCATCCCTTCACTTTCAGCCTGTGTGTGTCTTTTGTTCTGAGGTAGGTCTCCTGTGGACAGAATATATATGGATCATGCTTTCTTATTCATTCAGCTACTCTATATCTTTTGATTAAAGCATTTAATTGATTAACATTTAAGGTTATTATTGATAGGTACTTATTTGTTGCCATTTTTCTTCTTTGCTCTTATGTTCCCCTCTCACTGTTTCTTCTTCTTAAAGAAGTTCCTTTAGCATTTCTTACAATCCTGGTTTGTTGGTAATGAATTCCTTTAGCCTTTTGTCTGGGAAGCTCTTTATTTCACCTTCAATTTTAAATGATAGTCTTTCTGGATAGAGCAGGCTTGGTTACAGTTTCTTGCTTTTCATTACTTTGAATACTTCATGCTGTTTCCTTCTGGCCTGAAGTGTTTCCATTGAGAAATCAGCAAACAGCCTTATGGAAACTTACTTGTAGGTAACTGACTGTTTCTCTCTTGCTGCCTTTAAGATTCTCTCTTTGTCTTTAATCTTGGTGATTTTAATTACAATGTGTCTTGCTGTGGTTCTCTTTATGTTCATCTTGCTTGGGACTCTCTATGCTTCTTAAACTTGTGTGTCATTTCCGTTCACCAGGCTAGGGAAATTTTCTGTTATTATTTCTTCAAATAGGTTTTCTGTAACATGCCTTGGAGAAGGCTATTTTGGATTGAGATCATTAGGTGTTCTTTTAGCTTCTTGGATTTGAGGATCCAGTTATTTCAATAGATTAGGGAAGTTCTCATCAACTATTTATTCAAATAAGATCTCTGTTCTCTTCTTTTCCTTCTAGTATAGGCATTATTATTATATTTCTCTTTCTGATGAAATCTGATAGTTCTGATAGAGTTCTTTAAATTTTTTTACTCTCAAATTTTTCCTCTTCCGCCTGACTCATTTCTAGGTTTCTATCTTTGATATCACTAATTCTTTCCTCCATCTGGTCTGCTTTATTTTCTAAGCTCACTATTTCATTCTTCATCTCTTTTATTGACTTCTTCAGCTCCAGTATTTGTTTGGTTCTTTCTCTACAGTTTTTGTTTTGTTTGTTAATCCGCACCCAAGGATATTTTTTCATTGAGTTTTTTTTTCTTAGATAGAGTGGAAGGGAGGGAGAGAGTGAGAGAGAGAAAGAAACATTGATATGAGAGAGACACATCAATTGATTACCTCCCGCACAATCCCCACTGTGGTCGGGGATTGAACCTGCAACCCAGGTACATGCCCCGGACTCTTCAGTCCACGGGCTGATGCTCTAACTGCTGAGCAAAACCAGCCAGGCTTTCCCTGTAGTTTTTAATCTCTTTGGTAAAGTACTCCTTTTATTTCTGAGTTTGTTAAATTGTCTTTCTGAGTTTTCTTGTATCTTGTTGTTTTTCAAAACTGCAATCTTGAATATTCATTTAAATCACATATTTCCAAGTCTTTAAGTTTATTTTCTGGAGATTTTTTATTTTCTTTCTGAATTCCTTTGTTATTTGGTTGTTCATTGTGGTTGACTGGTTACTTTTCTGTTTGGGCATAATATAAGCTGCATTTTAAAAGAATTCTAGTTGATAAGTAGAGGTGCTTTCTTTTCCTCCCAATAGATGGCGCTGAAGCAGCAGTTTTTCTGTTCTCTTACCTGTGTGGTGGGGGGTGTCTGGATCTCTGTGTGGCAGTGTCCCTTAAACTATGCAAAACCCTCTGTTTTCCCCAGTAGGTGGGCATCCCCTCCACTACCCAGTCATCTCAGACCCAGGGAACCACTCCGTGGATCGAACGGGCAGGCGGTGGATCTTCTGTGTGCCCTGTGTGCCACTCTCCTGTAGTCAGAAGCTGCGGCGAGTTGCTCCAAGTTGACTCAGCTGCTTCCACTAGGAGGTTCCAAAAGGGGACCAGAATGGTTGGGTCACAGGTTAGCAAGTTCCAGGAACTCAGTTCTGCTGTACGTAATGGGCTTAGCAGCAATGATTACAAACCACTTAGGCTGGATTTTTTCTTTTTCTTTTCGGTGTTAGTCCTTTCACTGTCCACTTACTGCTCGGTGGGCCACAGGGATATGGGGTGGGCTGATTGCCTGTCTCTGGAATCCTTTGTTCAATTCTTGTAGGCTTTAGAGTGCTGCAATTTTTTATTTTTTTTTGCACCATTTCTCTGCCCCTAACCCTGGGCCCAATTCTCAATATGTGCCAGCCACCCAAGACAGATTGCTGTTTCTTCCTGTCCAGTCTAGTCTGCCCAGTGGGAGCTGCACCCCAGCCCTTTACTGCTACAGTGTCCTCTGGGGCTGCAGAGAGCGCTGGGCTGCAGGAGACTTCTGTCTCTGTCCGTCTCCCTCCCAGTCCTGTTTCAGCGGTTTTCCCAGATATGCCCCTTCAGATGTCTCTGCTCAATGTCTCAGATGTGCTTGAACAGGAAATCCTTTCATGAATTCTAGCTGTCCAACTTGTGACTTCATGGGGAGAGATCTGGAGGCCCTAATTATGCCACCATGCTGCTGAGGTCCTGACTACCTCTTTAATGTTGAAATACTCGTTTACCTTTAGAGAGTCCTTGTTAATCTGGTTCATCTTCTATTTCTCTATTCATGGTTTCTCTGGGTACTTAATCTTTTTTTTTTTGTCAGGTGTGCACATTTCTCAAGAATCTTTCCATTGGCTTTTTCTTTCTCTCGCCCGTTTTGCTGCTGTTCTTCTTCCCATCAGTCTCATCTATTAACACGGCTTCCACTATCACATTTACAGTCTTCCCCCAAATCCTTTTCATCAGCACTAACCTCCAGACCTCCATTTTTAACTGTCTAAAAAGGTCACCTCATTCTGTTATTACTTTAATAACACATTGGATCTTGAGATCATTATATAATTTTTTCTTTTCTTTTCTTTTTTAAAATCGGGAACATTTAATGACTTCGGGTGCCATCTTTGTGCCAAGGCCATGATAATCTTCTCTGTGTAGTTCCAGTTTTAGCACATGTGCGGCTGAAGCGAGCACTGTATATTTTTATTATTAGCTTTGCTCGTAGATGTGTCTTCATTTGCATCTTGACACTATTATGTACTGGATGGATAATTTGGATAAGATATTTATTTACTGCCTCTGATCCCTTATTTTCCTCATTTCTGAATTAAAATCAGTTAAGTACAACCTTAGAATTGTGCTGATGATTAAGTAACATGTAATTGTACTCAAATAGGGCTAATTTCTTTCTGTTTCTTTCTGCAAAATATTGATATTTTCTCAGCTTACTATGTCCTCCTGTTGCCCTAATTTTATAAGTTTTTTTACTCAGGGCCAAGTTCAAATGTCAATTTTTCCAAAATGCTTGTGATGCTCCTCAGGTATTATGTCTGTAATTATAGATTCAAATTTTCTTAATCTTTTGCTCCCTGTACAAAGGCTTTTTCTGTCCTCATTTTATGGTTCTATGTAATATTTCCTTCTAGACCAGTGGTTTTCAACCTTCCTAATGCCGCGACCCTTTAATACAGTTCTTCTTGTTGTGGTGTATCCCAACCATAAAATTATTTTCGTTGCTACTTCATAACTGTAATTTTGCTACTATTATGTCTTAGGAGACCTCTGTGAAAGGGTCGTTCAACCCCCAAAGGGATCGCGACCCACAGGATGAAAACTGCTGTTCTAGATCATGATATCTCAATTAAGGCAGAATTTGCGTTTTATCTATCTTGCGTCTTCTACAGGAACTAAGTGGTTCTCATAAATATTTGGTATAAGATATGTAATCTGTAACTATATCTATATTTACACCTATAGCTATATCCATGCACATGTTTATGTGTATATGTACATTTGTGCACGTATATGTCCTCCCTTGTTTTCTGACTTCCTCTTCAATATAACAAATGTCTATGCACAAAGAATGAAAATAGAATGTTCTTTCTTTAAAATCTAGGGTTTGGTTACATAAAATACATTTAATGTAAGCCATCTGATTATAAATTATCTTCAAAAGTTTGATTACAACAAAGATTTTTTATGCTCAAATTATTCACAGTACTTGTGAACACTTGACTACAATAAAGCTCAGATGAGCTAGAAAAATGTTAATTGACATATGGCTTCTGACAAGCAGTGTCTGTACAATAGACTTTGTTATTTTTGTTTCATTCATATATTTTGTTTATTTTTTAGATTAAAAAGCCTTATATATTTGAGTATAAATCATAACCAGCTAGCCAGTATTCCTAGACAACTTTGTTTTCTAAGAAACCTTTCTGAACTTCAGCTTAACTACAATCAGCTCATTTGCATACCTGAAGAGATTAAGTTCTTGAAGAGGCTCCAGAAGCTTCTTCTAAACAGGAACAATATTGAAGTTTTGCCAGAGGTAAGCAAAACAAGAAACCAAATTTTCTTTCGTTGGGGAAGGACTCTCACTACAACCCGTCTTGGAGGGATTATGGAATAGATTTGGGTATGTGAGTACAAACCATCATTTGCTTTCCCTCTGATTAGATGCAGTCAGTTCCCAAATTCCTGTGACAAAGGGCAGTTATAACTTGGATTATTTCACATGGCTAAGGCTGCCAGGTGTAGTAAATACACATACAGGATACTCACTTAAATCTGAATTTCAAATAAGCAATGAATAATTTTTTAGTATAAGTATGTTGCAAATATTGCATGGGACATACTTATACTAAAAAAATTGTTTGTTTGAAATTTAAATTTAAGTGAGCCTTCTATATTTTATCTGGCAACCCTATGCACTGCACAAGATATAAGTACATATTGGTTTTTGAATATGTGCAAGAGAGCGTTCATTTTTTTCTTCATTTCCACACTTTATCTTTTTTCAACCCACTCTGCATCTGAGAGAGTCACCTGTATCGGCATCACTGAGCTCCTGTGGCCTCTGGCTCCCTCTTGGACATGGCCCACGAGAGGCACTAGCACAAAGCGAAAGGACAGCAGAAGAGTGAATGTCCTATGGTGCTCCCCTAGTACCTGCCTGATGGTGCTGCCAGCTTCCCGCACACCTTTTATGGAAAAGCCATAGCTGATGCCAGGTGCTCCTATACGGACCATTACCAGCTCCTGTTGGCTCTTTAGGCCTTTGGTGGTAAAACACTTCCTGCTGTTCCTAGCTTTTGGAAACTTTGTGGGATTAGGGTGCTACATTTTGTGGTTTATATTTTCCTAAACCCTGTCAAGCTTTTAAAAATAGTGACTTTCATAAACTTCCCTCAGATTTCCCAGTTTGAAAGTACTATTTCCTGCTAGGAACCTGTCAGTGGGTTCACCTTTCCTACTTATGCAAATTAAAATTAATTTGGTAGGAGAGAATGCATGTCAGACAGTAAATTGAGATATAAAAAAGCAAATCAATTCCTGCTATTTCATTTTTCTCTTTTGGAAAATATTCCCTTTAAAAATCCTGTGCATGGCATAACGTAATATGTGAAAATATACCAAGGTGTAAGCTATAAATAAGTATATTTCAAAATATTTTTTCTTAAATTTTTTTACAAATCCTAATTTCTATAAACAAGTAAAAATATCTTTAAATTACATAATGAATCTATTAAAATTATAACTCCTTTAATAAAAAGGAAAGCTGTAACCATAGCAACACGATCATCATGATGAAGCATTATATTATTTAGTGTTTATAACAACTTTAAAATGTAGCCCTTATTATTATTCCTTTTCGTTATACCATTTTAGAATAAGAACAGAGATTATGTGACTTGAACACAATTTGCAAAGATCAGAGAAGCGAATAAAATCCATGTCTTTCTGACTTAAATGTACCCTTTCTATAATTTTATAAATTCCAAGGAGTTTAGACATTGAAAAATTTAAATTCTAATAAGTCCTATCCTAAATTATTGTATAAAGAATTCCTATGATCATTTATGTCCTTGTACATTTAGTATGATTCAGTCCATCATTGTTCTTTTTGGCCTGCATTGTAAATGATAAGACATAACAAAAAATACTTAAATTATTTTGTAATGAAAAAAATTATGAATCACTTTCTGGTACATTATAAATTGTGTGTATGTCTGCACATGTATATGAATGTATATGTTCATCCAGTCACATTAGGCATGTAGATAGAGACCCTAACAGATTTTTCTTTACTCTACAAGGAAAGGGTTCTCTTAGTGCAGTGCTAAGCAAAAGAAAGATAAGAAATTAATGATGGTAGAACTGTCAAAAGTGACAAATAAGATTACACCTGTTTTCTGTTTCTCAAAGATTCTTTTTGTTTTAATGATAGTAATGTCTACTTACTGTTCACTAGGTATTGGGCCCTTTAGTAAGCACTTAGTAACTTCTTTAATTCATTCAACAATCATTGAAATAGGGGCTGACATTAGCAATTCCATTTTACAAATGGAGAAATTGAAGTACAAAGAGATTAAGAAATTTACCCAAAGTTATGTTGTAAGTGTCAAAGGTGACGTTTGAACCTACAAACAGCCTAACTCTTGGTCACCATGTTATATTGCCCTGGAGTGGTCAGAGGAAATGGAAAAGATGAAGAATCTGACAATCCAGGATCTCCTTGGGGAGGATGTACTAAAGAACTGATCAGGTAATTAAGAAAGATGGTCAATACCATCAAGTTCAAACTTAGAAGAAATATTTATAATTCTACATATTTTACAGATTCTTAAATCTCTCTTTCTTTTGTTTTCCTACACAGGGATTGTGTGATCTTAAAAACCTAAGAATCTTAGACATAGCTGAAAATGTCATTCGGATATTTCCACCAAGAGTAAGTAGAGTCAACATCTATTATAATTGAAAAATAATTTTGTTTATGCTACTTGAATTAGAAAAATACAGACAGCTAGTATAACTTGTAGTGATTGAAACTTTGAATTATACAAATGACTCAAAGGTTTTTTTTTTTAACTCTAGAATTTTGAAACTTATTCTCTCCATTCCATCTTTTGTGTTCTATGCCCGCTGAACTTGTTTGTACTACGTGAACTCTGATTGCTATCATAAATATTTTAATATATTTGTATGATGAGTGTTTTTTGTTATCACATACTGTTTTTGGTCGCCTCACACTTTTGAGAATATTATTTTCCAGAGCATACATTTTTATCCCTTGTAATGAATCCAGAGTGACACTTGTATTAGTTCTTTTTAAACTATGAAAAATAACAAATGTACCTTTTTCTATTTGGAAATGAATTTTGACTTGGCCTTATTTCAAATAACCGAGAAGCAGTTGGTCTTGAAAATTCTAACTTTTGGGAAAGAAATAGCAGTTTTTCATGTTGCATTTTTGTATTCTAGTGAATGTTTCTACTAGAATGATTAAAGGTAATAATTAAAGCCCGTCAATCCAGAAAGTATTCAATAAATAGTTGTTGACCCATTAATTACTTTTTCTAATTGATCAAGTCTAAATTGAGATTTAAGTCTTTTTTTTTTTTTTTACCCCATGGCAATTTTTTACACTAAAGATGTCTCAGATATGAAAAATGAGTATAATGTCTGTGTTTTAGAAAAAGTCCAGATTTTTTATTGTGCTAAAATATACATAACATAAAATATATCCTTTTAAACATGTTTAAGTGTACAGTTATATGGCAATAAGCATATTCATGTTGTTATACAACCATCATGACCATCTGTATCCAAGAGATTTTCATCTTCTCCTACTGAAATGATGCCCATTAAACACTCCCCGTTCTTGCCTCCCCAGCACTTGGCAACGAGCATTCTACTTTGTGTATTTACAAATTCGACTACTCAAAGTCCCTCATATAAATAGAATAATACAGTATTTGACCTTTTGTGATTATATTGGCTTATTTTACCTAGCATAATGTCTTCAAAGTTTATGTATGTTATAGCCTAGAATTTTCTTCCCTTTCAAGACTAAATAACATTTCATCATATATATATGCCACATTTTGTTTATTTATTCATCTGTCAATAGTATTAGTGTCAGGTGTACAGCATAGTGGTTGAGTAATTATATATTTTGCAAAGTGGACCCTGTGATATCTCAAGTACCCACATGGCACTGTACATGGTTATTACAGTATTATTGACTATATTCCTTATGCTATACTTTCTATCCTGTGACTATTTCATGACTACCAATTAGTAGTTCTTAATCCCTTCACCTTTTTCATGCAGCCCCCCAAATCCCTCCCCATTGGCAACCACCACTCTGTTCTCTGTATCTATGAGTCTGTTTCTATATTGTTTGTTTATATTGTTTTTTTGATCACACATATAAGTGAAATTATATGGTATTTGTCTTTGACTTATTTCACTGAGCATAATACCCTCTAGGTCTTTCTCTGCTGTTGTAAATGATAAGGTTTCTTTGTGTGTGGCCAAGTAATATTCCATTATGTATATTGCTCAGCATTTTTATACACTCATATATTGATGGGCACTTGGGTTGCTTTCATATCTTGACTATTACAACTAATGCTGCAATGAGTTTAGGGGGTGCATATACAGTGATACCTCGGTTCTCGAACATAATTCGTTCCAGGAGGACGGTCGAGAACCGAATTGTTCGAGAACCGAAGCAATGAAACCCAATAGGAAAGCGTGACTCCACAAAGCGTGACTCTCTCTCTGCGCTCACACTGATGACGCAAGCAAGGCGCGCTGGGCCGAATGAACGCCATTCGGCTCAACTCGGCTCATCTCGGAAGTTCGAGTTCCAAATATTTGTTCGGATTCCGAGACAAAAGTTTCTCAAATCTCCTGGTCAAATACCGATTTGGTCGAAAACCGAGGCGTTCGAGAACCGAGGTATCACTGTATTCTTTTGCATTAGTGTTTGTGTTTCTTTGGCTATATACCTAGAAATGGAATCACTGGATCATAAAGTAGTTCCATTTTTAATACTTTGAGGACCCTCCATACTATTTTCTACTGGCTGCACCAGTCTGCATTCCCACCATCAGTGCACAAAGGTTTCCTCACCATCACTTGTTTGTTGACTATGGATGTGTCCTGACTGGAAATAAAATGAGCAACCTTTTGGTGCATGAGCAACCTTTTGGTGCATGAGCAACCTTTTGGTGCATGGACAACACTCAACCAACTGAGCCATACCAGCCAGGGCAGGTCTGCCCATTTTTTAATTTGATTTTTTTGGTTCAAGCAGTATGAATTCTTTATAAATTTTGGATGCTAACTCCTTATCAGATATATTGTGGGCAAATATCTTCTTCTATTCAGTAGGTTGTCTTTTGTTTGTTGATGGCTTCCTATATTGTGTAAAAATTTGTAGTTTGATGTAGTCCCATTTGGTTATTTTTTCTTTTGTTTCTCTTGCCTGAGGTGATATGTCAGAAAAAAATATAGCTGACCTTTAGCTTGTCTAGAAATTCTAATTCTTGCTAAAGGGCAACCCTGTTAGCTTTGAGATGGTCTGAAGAGTACATGATACTCTTCATTGCCATTGATTATTTATCACTTCTATTTTTGAGTCCATGTGAAATCTTAGTTTTCTTTTACCCTTTTTTAGTAACAATGTTCTTGCTAAACCAGTTCTTTTGATTAATTTAGGTTAGTCCAAAGCAACAGAGGACTTACATATGGCTGAATTTATACATTATTCCTGAGGCATGCATCTTTGCAGGAACAGTTATAATAATTAACCTGGCCTGGAGAGGAAGCCCTTTGCAAATCTTGACTTCCCAGGAAATGTTATGTGTGCCTGGGGTTTTTGAGAAGACATTAATTTATATATCACTTATTTATTGGGCATCAGCTATGTACTAGGCACTGAACTTAGAGCTTGATTAGATAGTTGAGCCTAGCAGGGAAAGATAGACCTTTCAGAGAATTTATAGATGGCATGATAGAGACTGGAGAAGCTTAGAGTGGTGATGTTTTGGGCTTGAAGAGATGATCCAGGAGTAGGGTGAGTAGAAGGGCATAGCATGAATAATAACTGTAAGATAAGACCCCTATGGATCCCAGGATGGCTGGTGTATGAGGTTGAAGGCAGGACTTACCAGATATATGGTTGGAAAAACAGGCTGAAGAAAACCAAAATGACATATTGGGGTTTTGGACTTACCCTGTGAACAAGAGGGAGCCCTGAAAAGGTTTAAGCAAGGTTGTATTATGACAAGATTCTCATTTTTAAAAAACCAATTCAGCAGCAAAAGATTTCACTGAGACCAGTTAGAGTACTATCACAATAACTGATGGGAGCTGAGGGCCGTAATCAAGGCAGATCCCCGGGGTTAGTGGCTGGGAGAAGAATATGTTTTGCTTCTTTTAAAACAATTTTCACTGTGCACAACAGGTTATAATGAGAACACGTTGATGTGGCTCTGTTTCTCTTACCCTTTTCACTGAACATATATTGGATTATAAAACAGTTTCTCAGACCTGGATTTTGGTGCATATTAGAATGTTATTTTTCATTATATTTGGTTTTCTAACAAATATATTATTTGCAATGTTTCCAGCATTTGATTAATGAACTCCCGTTCTGTTACTAACAAGTTCTATGATTTTCAAAAGTTTTCTCAGCTGTGTAGGATAAGGGACGCCACAGGTGACCTCGGAAGTCATTGCCATTGGTGGCAGCATGAAAATCCTTATGCTTGTAGCAACTAGAGTATGTCCTGCTGTTAAAATACTAATGTGGAACATAAACCCTAAATAAAGCATCTTAAATCTAATTTCACTGAAGATGTAGCCTCAGGAATAGAGTTATTATTTTGTTGTGAAATCAAGTTTTAATTTTGTTTTGAAAGTTTCAGAATATGAAGTTGAAGGAATTCTATTGTGAGGAAAACCCACTGTTCCTGAAGCAGCCTGTTACTGCTGCACAGCTGGAGGAAGTCTGGAGCCTACAGGTGAAGCCTTATATTATTCACACAGTTCTCCAAATTCAGCCCTGATTTAAGTTCTAAAGAGTTTTCTTTTAAAGCATTCCAGCCATATCAACAAATGATTAATGTCACCCTAATCTATTGGCAATGTGTATCCTAGACATAATCTCTTTGACGTGCTTATAGAATCTCATGTCTATCTGATTTCCAGAGTGATTAAATTCAGAGAAATGGAAACATTTTGTTGCATGAAAAGAAAAGAGAGGCATTGGTTTTCACTTTCACCTTCCAAGTATCTTTTAGTATTATCTAAGAACGTGTTTGATTCGTTCTTGCCGGGGTCTTTGCCAGTCCCCTTTCACTTGACCCCATTCCTAGTGGATGAATGAAAATGACCCAGAAATCATGTTTACTTTAGTAAAACAAGTTAGTGATATTAAAAGAAAGAATAGGAAAGCATATAAGAGGGTTCTCTTTGTGTGTCCTTCGGAGATAGATGAGTTAAAGGTTGCAGGTCTTCTCACATTTGAATATGAGTCTCCCTCATAAATCTAAACTTCTCAGATTTATGAGGGAGACTCATAAAAGTTCCTTTTAAGTCTATAACTGACCATGCCAGGATTGTCTTAAGACTTTCAAGAGTTGTGTTGGATTAAAATTTCCTGGATTCAGGAAATAAGCAATCTATTGTTTTTTTATAAATCACATTTTCCCTTGTTGCATAGGGTATATTTGTTTAATACAGAAAACTAGAAAATACAGATAGATGAGTAAGAAAGAAAGTTAAAATTAGTTTTAGTGACATACTGATTAGAAGAAAAGTTTATTACACAAATAATACAAGCTCATCTAGAGAAATTAGGGGAAAAAGCAATAAAAGTTGATAAAAATACTTAGAAATCTGGTACACAGAGATATTACTACTATTCTCGCTGACATTTATTCTGCTAGTATTTTCCATGCATCTAGAAGTTTTCTTTTTTAAAGATGAGTTTAGACTCTACATACCTTTAGAGACTTGTTTTTCCCTCAAAGTATTGTGAATGTCTTTCCAAATCAATAAAAAATAATCTATGATCTCTTTTTATGATGAATGCATAATATTCTGGTATATTATACCATAATATTTTTAACTATTTCCTTCTGTTGGCTGTTTAGATTATTAATAATTTTCTGGCGTTTTGGCCTTTATGACAAGGCTACAATGTCCAGCCTCACAGAAAATTTGTTATGTTCATATTATCCTTATGAGTGAGATTGCTTGGTCAGAGAATTGTCATCTTTGAAGGTTTGGTCGCTCTTTCTAAATTCACTTCCAGAGAGTCAATTCATATTTCCATAAACAGTATTATTTTCTACTCTCGTGTGAAAAAAACTTATTTGAAATTTAATTGTAAATAATTTAAAAAACTATATTCACTTGTTTAATCCTTAAACCTTTTTGTTCTCCTTAAATCAATCATTTTAGATTAATAATAATAACAATTATAGTAATAAAAACTAACACCTATTAAGCTTACTATGAGCAAGGCATTGTTCTAAGCAATTAGCATAAATGAATTAATTTAATCATCCAATAACCCTAAAAATGTAGGGACCATTATTGTTCCCCCTTTATAGATAAACAGAGTCCCAGAGAGGTTAAATAGCTTGTCCAAGTTCACTGAGCTAGTGAGTATTGAGAGTATGATATCCTCCTAAGCTGGGCTGCAGACCCCATGCAATAGTATCACCTCACAGAGAGGCCGCCTGAGGTGAGGGGAAAGAAAACAGGCGCAGTCCCTGTGTGGAGGAGGCTCTGGGTTGTGAGTGGGGTGGATTAGCAGTTAACCCAATGTGACAGTGGTCTTGCCAATGGACTCTTGAAGGTAAGAATGGTTTGGGTATTTTTAAAACTATCTCTAGGAATTTTTCTTAGGAAGGTAACACATTTATTACACATTTTATTTTTAGAGTAAAAATAATTTCTATTGGATATTTGGTTAACATTACTGATTAAACTACCTGACTGTCAAAGAACTATGGAACTTTGATTGATGGTTGTCTTGGTTAAGATTTTTAAACATTTTTCTTCACCTCAGAGATTTATGATCTAAATTTTGATGTTGATAACTAGATTATAACAAAATACTAGCCAGAAGATACTGTATTTGTAGATGCCAGGCTAAGAGTTGTGCCCATGTTATTTGATTTAATTCTTTAAACTCTGTGGGATAGTACTGGAAAAACATCCTGTTTTATAGGTGAAGCATCCAAAAGCAGAGAAGTTAAGGACTTGTCCAAAGAGAGTCACACAGCTAAGTCACAGAGCAGGCTCTGCACCTATTTATTTATCTGAATCTGACTCCAAATCTTTGCTCTTTTTAAAATTTTATATTTTAATTACAGTTGGCATTCAATATCATTTTGTATTAGTGTCAGGTGTACAGCATACTGGTTAGACATACATGTTACAGAGTGGACCCTGAGATATTTCAAGTACCCACCTGGCACTTTACATCATTATTACAGTATTATTGACCATATTATCTATGCTGTACTTTACATCTCCAGTACTATTTTGTGAATACCAATCAGTAGTTCTCAATCCCCTTATTTTTTCACATAACCCCCCAAGTCCCCCCGCATTGGCAAGCATCAGTCTGTTCTCTACCTCTTTGCTCTCGATGCTATGTTTTAGTGTCTATCATACACAGAGTATCACTTGATAATACAATAGTTCCAAATTGATCATTCCTTCCAAGGATTCATATTTGTTTCTAAATTTTATATAGTTTTATATTTATATAAAAATAATTTATATATGGATAGTCCTATATTTCAAATTAAACCATTATATGTAAGGAAAAATAAAAGAATACACCTGAAACTAATTTTAACTTATGATCTTTAAACATAGGAATAATCTCTGACATATATATATATATATATATATATATATATATGTGTGTGTTTCGCTAATAAACTAACAAAATAGCATATAAACTATTCTAAAGGAATATTGTTGTCCATAAAATATTTACTGACTCTTAAATAACACTGGAATTAGGCCACCATTAAGTTGTATATTCTCAAAAACTGTACTGCATGTATCTTTAAAAGGTGTTCTAAAATATAGTATTTACATGGCCAATATATGTACTTTATATATACTCACATTTCTAAGTAATAACTTTATATTTCAATTGTATATCTTCCAAACTAATGCACTGGCAGCAAATAGGAGAAGAATATAAATAAAGGGTAATATAAAAGTTTTCAAGAGACATACTGAATGCAATAAACACGTTTGGTTCCAGAAATCATAAATGGAAACAGTGAATTCTGTGATTTATAGATCCTAATTTATAGGTCCCATGTATTTCAGCAAATTCTTCTACCATCTGATGTTTTGGGAGTGAATCTCTTACTAGTTTTCTGAAGCTTTATAGTGAGACTCTGACTTTAATTCTTGTAGCTAAAAACTTACCTCTAAAATCAATATTTTATTCAGAATAAAAAATTATGCTCTGTGTAAATAGGTAAAGAAAGGTTGATAATAGACATCTAACTTATTAGTCTTGGTAATATTAGTACAAAGCGTAATAGGATGACCTCAGTTATGTAACCATCCAGGAGAATGAGCTTAAGTGAGTAGGAGGTTATGCTGCTGAAGGATCAGACATGTAAGGAACCCATGCAGTACAAAGGCAGCTTTCCCAGGTGCTTGTTAAGTAGAAGGAATAGAGTAATAAAGAACAGGGGGACGACAATCTGGAAGATTTTATTATTTTTTAAATATTTTAACTGGGGTGAATGAGTGAAGGATTATCTATGTATATATGTAGATATTCCCAAAGATTCCTTTCAGAGACTGATGTGGACTACTTTAATACCACCAGAGAATCTTGCACTTTGGTGAGAAAAAAAGTTTCACACACTTATTAATGTTTATGCAGTGTTTATGTAACATTTATGTAGGACTTCCAAGCTACTGGCACAGACATTGGGGTGGGTGGGAAAGCTTAGCGGAATAAATTAAAAAAAAAAAATATATATATATATATATTTTTTTTCATGGTCATTGAACATTTAATTTTAAGTATTATATAATTATTTAAAACTTTTTACTTTAAGACGATACTGGTAGTCATGATGAAAGTCAGTTTACATTATTTTCTCATTACCCCTTTTATTATTTAATATTGTAATAGTATTAACTTAAGTGAAGTTTCTTGACATACCTATGTGGATAGGTTTAATACAGAGTGGATTCAGATATTTGGTTAATATAAATCAATATTCTTTACCAATATGACTCTATTCAGGTACTCAATGCAGTAGGTAACTTAGACTAATGCTTCTCAAACTTGAACCTGCAAAGGAATTATCTGGGGAAACTTCTTAATTGCAGATTCTGATTCAGTAGGTCTGGAGTGCATCTGAGAGTATGAATTTTTAATTAGCTTCCAGTGATGCAAATTCTACTGGTCCATGATCCACAATTTTAGTAGTAAGCATTTAGACATTAGTAAATATGATAAACTCATTTTTTTTAGTTCAGCCTGAATATTTATTTGTACAGTCCTTGTTTATTGTAATGAGAAGTACACAATTTAAATTAAACTTTACCTAATAATATAAATTTATTATAACTTGGATTCCTGTATATAAGAGATATGGAAATATTAAAACGGGAATCAGTTTCTTTTCTTATATTGTTAAAAACTAAACTTATTTACAATACCAGTTGTTGACAATATACTTCATCATATATACTATGAAAAATTAATTTAATAGAACTGTGATGAATAACCCCAAAATATAAATTAGTGAAATGGGAATCAATGTAATATAAAATAGTTATTTTGAAAATTATCTTGAGGAACCATATTTTTTTTTGATCTAGGAAATAACATCAAGATTTATAATGAATCAGCTAGAAGATCGGAATCCTTTCCTAATGGAAGCTATAGAATGGTACCCACAGGTCAGGGACACACTTTCTAAAGGAAGAAAATGTGCAATATGTGGAAAATCATTTTTAACCATATGGATTGACTGTGTTGAATTTGTTCCTCCATCAAAGGTAAATGGTGCTTTTTTGGTGTGAATATGAACATAAGATCTCCTCTTATTCTATGTTCATATCTAAATCAACCAATGCTAACTAGATTTTTATATAAGAATGAATTTCTACAATAATATAATGTTTTTCCTATCTTTATGGAGATATAATTGACTGATAACATTACGTTAAAGTGAACATGTTGATTAAAAAAATTTATAAATTGAAAAATCATTACCACTATAGTATTAGCTACCACCTCCATCCCATTACATAGTTATTTCATTTCTGTGGTGGGATCACTTAAGGTCCACTATCTAAGCATCATTCAGATATATGATTAAATATGGTGAATACCAGAGGGAAAGGGGGCTGGGTGGAGGTAGAAGAGGTAGAGGAGAGATAAATGATGATGGAAGGAGACTCGACTTGGGGTGGTGAAGACACAATATAATATACAGATGATGTATGATAGAATTTATACCTAAAACCTATATAATTTTATTAAGCAATGTCACACCAGTAAATTCTCTAAAAATTGAAAAACAAAAACAAAAATGTGGTATAGTATTATAAGTTATAATCATCATACTATACATTGGATACTCAAGCTTGTTAATCTTATAACTAGAAGTTTGTACCTTTGAACATTTCCCCACCCCAACCCGTGGTGAACACCACTTTACTATTTCTCGGAGTTCGTATATTTTATTTATTTATTTATTTATTTATTTATTTGGTTAGTCCTCACCGAGGATATTTTTTTCCATTTATTTTTAGGTAGAATGGAAGGGAGGGAGGTAGGGAGGGAGAGAGAGAGATAGAAAAACATTGGTGTGAGAGAGACACATCAGTTGGTTGCCTCCCGCACGACCCTGAACAAGGATTGAATTCACAATCCAGGTACATATCCTTGACCAGGAATCTAACCCACGACCCTTTGGTCTGTGGACTGATGCTCTAACCGCTGAGTCAAACTTGCCAGGGCTGAGTTTTTCTATTTTAGATTCTACATGCAAGTGATTGTACAGCATTGTCTTTCACTATCTGACTTATTTCAGTTAGTGTAATGCCCTCAAGATCTATCTAAGTTGTAGTGAATGGGAGAATTTCCTTATTTCTCATGGCTGAATAATATTTCTTGTTATAAATATTCAATTGTCTTTATCCATTCATTTGTTGACACTCAAGTTGTTTTCATATCTTGGCTACTATAAGTGATGCTGCAATGAACATGAGAGTGAAGATATTTCTATGACATACCGATTCTAATTTCTTTGGATATATACTCAGAAGTGGGACTGCTGGATCATATTTTTAGTTTTACTTTTAATTTTTTGAGGAAACTGCATACTATTTTCCATAGTGACTATACCAGTTTGCATTCCAGTACACTATGGTTCCCTTCTCTCCACATCCTCTCCAACACTTTATCTGTTGTCTTATTGATGTAGCCATCTAACTCACTTGAGGCGATATCACATTGTAGTTTTGATTTACATTTTCCTGATAATTAGTGATGATGAGTACTTTTTTATGTACCTGTTGTCCATTTGTATGCCTTCTCAGGAAAAAAAAATTTTATTCCATTCTTCTGCCCATTTTTAAATTAAGTTGTTAGGTTTCGGCTATCAAGTTATATGAGTTCTTTATATATTTTGGATATTGACCGTTATCAGATACATAATTTATAACTATTTTCTCCCACTCTAGGTTGCCTTATCATTTTGTTCAGTTTCTTTTGATGTGCAGAATTTTTTAGTTTGATGCAGTTCCACTTATTTATATGTGCTTTTGTTGCTTGTACTTTTGCTGTCATATCCAGGAAATCACTGCTGAGACCAATGTCACAGAGTTTTTTCCCCTCTGTTTTCTCCTAGGAGCTTTATGATCTCAATTCTTAAATTTTAGTATTTAATCTATTTTGATTTTTGTGTGTGTAAGTGGTGTAGGACAGAGGTGCAATTTTATTCTTTTGCATTGGTTATTCAGTTTATTAACATTATTTATTGAAGGACTATCTTTTTCCCATTGAATATTCTTGGCTCCCTTGTCAAATATTAGTTGACCATATATGTGGAGGTTTATTTCTGGGCTTTTGATTTTGTTCCATTGGTCTATATGTCTACTTTTTATTCCAGTACCATACTGTTTTCATTACTATAGTTTTCTAGTATAGTCTAAAATCAGAAAGTGTGATTCGTTGGCTTTGTTCTTCTTTCTTAGGATTGCTGTGCCTATTTGGGGTTTTTTATAGCTTTATATAAATTTTAGAATTTTTTTTCTATATCTGTGAAAAATGTCATTAGAATTTTAATAGAAATTTCATGAATCTAGAGATGGCCTTTGGGTAATATGCATATTTTGACACTATTAATTCTTTTGATTCATGAACATGGGATTTGTTTCCATTTGTTTGTGTCTTCTATATCTTTCATCAAAATCTTATTGTTTTTAGTGTACAAATCTTTTATTTCCTTGATTAGATTTATTCCAAAGAAACTTATTGTTTTTGATGTGCTGGTGAATGGGATTTAAAATATTTTTTTTTCTCAAATGTGTTTTTTTTTTTAGTGCATAAAAACAAAACTGTTTTCTGTATGTTAGCTTTGTATCCTGTAACTTGGCTGACTTTGTTGATTAATTCTAGCAATTTTCTTCAGGAGATTTTAGGATTTTGTACATATATAAGAACATATCATCTGAAAATAAAGACAATTTTACTTTTTTTTTTCCATTTGAATGCTTTTTAGTTTATTTTCTAGCCTGGTTACTCTTGCTAAGATTTCCAGTATTGAATAGGAGTGGCGAGAATGAGTACTGATTATAGAGAGAGAGAGCTTAACACAGTGCTTGGTACATATTTTATTTCTAAGAATGCCTGATGAATCACAGGATCTGGATTTAAATACAAGATTTTCTGTTCCATTATATTATTAATATATGTAATATATTACATCAAATGTATCATAGGGACAAATCTGGCAGAGCCACTGCCAATAAGGACTAATGTCATGGTGAAATAATGGTTGAGGAGAAACTTAAAAGTCAAAGCAAGCTGGGCATTAAACACCAAGAGAAAAGAGAGGTCATCAGTGGAAAAATGAAAATAGAAATGTATGTTGGTTCTTATTATGAGAGTAAGTCTGCAATCTTGATCACTTATATAACCTATCTCTGAATTGTTCACATTACCATCTGGAATGAATTGTTATATTCAAGAAACATTTGATGAGTATAACACATGCCATATTAGTTGGCAAAAGTTGCCAAAACATTCTGTTTTTCTCTCCGTGACATGAACACCTTGGACAGTTGTTATGTTCACTTCCTGCCTCCCCCACCCCCCAACAAAAACACCTTTCTTGGGAAAGATCTTCTTGCTCTCATAGATTCCCTTTCAAAATTATCTGATGAGCTGCTAGTTTCAATCTAAGATAATTGGATAAATTTCTAGAAGTATACAATCTTCCAATATTGAAAAAATTCCAAATCTAAATAGGCCAATTACTAGCAATAAAATTGAAGCAATAAGAAAAAAAAAATCTCTCAACATACAAAAGTCCAGGACCAGATTAATTCCCAAGTGAATTCTACCACACATTTAAAGGAAATTAATATCTATTCATCTTAAAACTATTTCAAAAATATTGAAGAAGAAAGAATGCTTTCAAATTCTTTTAATGAAGCCAGCATTACCCTGATACACAAATCAGCCTAAGACATTACAAAAAGATAAAATTACAGGCCAATATTCCTGATTCAAAAGTTCTCAACAAAATACAAGCAAACTGGATCCAGCAATACATTAAAAGGATTATACACTTAGACCAAATGAGATTCATCCAAATGATGCAAAGATGATTTAACATCCATAAATCAATCAATGTGATACATCACATCAGCAAAATAAAGAATAAAAATAACACTCAATAGATGCAGAAAAAGCACTTGACAAAATTCAACACCGTTTTATGACAAAACTCTCAACAGAGTGGGTATACAAAGAACATATTGCAACATAATAAAGGCTCTATATAATAAATCCACAGCTGATAACATACACAACACGAAAAGCCCTTTCTATAAGATCAGGAACAAGACAAGGATGCCCACTATCACCACTTATATTCAACATAGTATTAACAGTCCTAACAACAGCAATAAGACAAGAAAAAAAATTAAAATAAAAAGCTTCCAAATCTGAATGAAAGGAGTAAAACTCTCATTATTTATAGATGACATAGTACTACATGTAAAAATCCCTAAAGACATCACCAAAACTATTAAAACTAGTAGAATTCAGTAAAGTTACAAGATAGAGAATCAATATACAGAAATCTGTTGCATTTCTGTACACCAATAGTGAATGATCAGAAGGAATTAAGAGGACCTAAATTAACATTTCTCCAAAGAAGACATACAGACATATAAAAAGTTGCTCAATATCACTAATCAGGGAAATGTAGATTGAAGCCACAATGAGATATCACCTCACACCTGTCATAATGGTGATCATCAATAATCAACAAACAGCAAGTGTTTGTGAGAATGTGGAGGAGAGGGAACTGTTGATGGGATTGTAAATTAGTGCAGCCACCATGGAAAACAGTATAGGATTCCTCAAAAAATTAAAAATAGATCAATTATACAATATAGCAATTCCACTTTTGGGTATCGACCCAAGGAAAAACACTAATTTGAAAAGATATATGTACCCGTATGTTCAGTGTAGCATAACTAATAATAGCCAAGATATGGAAGCAACCTAGATGTCCATCAGTAGATGAAAGGATAAAGAAGATGTGATATATACATATCTCTCTATATATATCTATATATAGCACACAATGGAATATTATTCAGCAATAAAAACAATGGAGCCTAGAAGGAGTTAAATACATCAAACAGAGAAGGATGAATACCATATGATTTCACGTATATGTGGAGTCTAAAAATACAAAATAATTTAATAAACAAAACAAAATAAAAACAGGCCTATAGATATAGAGAACAAGCTCATTGTTACTGAAGGGAAAGGGGTAGGTGGGAATAAAACATTTTTAAATAAAAGAAATGACATAGCTATTTGATATTCAACACCATCCTTTTAAAAACAAATAAACTCTTCTTCAACCGTTAAATATAACATAATTAATCAATATGATCTCATGCAAAGTAGATTTAAAATACTATACGTAATATTCCATGATTCAATATTTTATGGTCTATCTATTGTTTAAACTCTATTGTTTTCCTAATACAATATGTACCTTCTTGAATTTCGGCTCTTGTGGTTCACCCTTTCTAAATGTCTTTTCTGTCTTCTCTAGGCTGCCATATCCTAGTCATCCTTCAACAGCTCACCATTCTCTTACACTTTGAAATCTCACTTAATATGCAGCCTCTGCTGTCCTGGCTGGTTTGGCTCAGCAGTTAGAGGGTCAGCCCATGGACTGAAGGGTTGTGGGTTCAATTTCCAGTCAAGGGTACTTACCTGGGTTATGGGTTTAATCCCCAGCCCTGGTTGGGGTCATGCATCTCTCATGCCAATGTTTCTCTCTCTGTCTCTTTCTCCCTTCCACTCTATCTAAACTCAATGGGAAAAAAAGTATCCTCAGGTAAGAATTAACAACAAAACTAAAAATATGAAGCCTGTGTTGATGTCTCTCTTCTCAGCACTAATATAGAACTTATCATTGGGTTGAGCCTTATGTTTCTAGTTATTTTTGTGTGTGTTTATGTCTCATCTTTCTAAATACATGTTAAAAAGATTCTTAGAGGCAGGGATTGCTTTTTATGTATCTCTGTATCTTTGGCACTTTGCCTGATGTGGTGCAGGATTTAGGTTGCTTGTAATTTGTTAAAACTCCTGGTTGCAAGTTAAAGAAATGCAGCTCATATACTAACTCAAGTAGTGAAGAAGACCCAGGCATGAGTCTGATTGGGTATTTAGTCATGCTGGACCAGGAACCCAAATTTATGAACAGGAATCTGTTCTTCTCTATGTATTGTCTTTGCTTTTTTTTTGGTCAGGTACGAGCTCTCTAGACTGTGTCCTCTAGACTGTGTCCTTTCTTTCTTAATATATCCAGGGAAATCCCTGGGGCTGATACTCTTTGGCTTTATGGGACTGTCTTGGTTCATGTGCTGGACCTAAGTTATGTGGCTTTATCTTGAGCTATGGAGTTGGATCAGTTGCCTTTTCCCTCCCATAACATGGGCACTGAAATTGGAGAAGGGGTGGTACTCCAAAGAAAAGGTGAGCTTTTGTTCCAGCAGAAGGGAAAATCCATGCTGGACAGGCAAGAAATGCCTATTGGGGATTTCAGTAAATGTTGGCTGATTAAAAATCTAAACTTTCTTCTAGGAAAGAAGTCAGGTTTGTAGAGATTCTGTACCATTTTTCACTTTTATTTTCTTCATTGATTTTTAGAGACAGAGATAGGGAGAGGGAGATAGAGTTAGAAACATCGATGAGAGAGAACATCGATTGGCTGCCTCCTACACACTACCCACTGGGTATTGGGCCCACAACCTGGGCATGTGCCCTGAACAGGAATTGAACCAGCGACCTCTTGGAGTATGGGTCAATGCACAACCACTGAACCACACCGTCTGGGTCCATTTTTCACTTTTATCTAAAATATTTTATCATTAAAATAATGCCATGTATCCTTTGAGCACTTTGTAATCACTGTTGGAGGTGGATGTGAAGGTGATATGATTTATGACTTCAGCTTCTCACTGATTTATCACAAGGGTTGAAAGGCTGTTACTCTCTCAAGGATGCATTAATAACTTTGCTTAGGTGTTTGAACCTTTAAATGGGTTCTTCTTTGTAGAAGAGTGAGCAGATCAACAATAAAGTTTCTCACTGTGGATTGTGGTGATGATGACACAATGAGTTCATGAAAAACTAAGTAGCATTATCATTCAATTAAACTACTGGTTGTGTGAGTCTGTTTGGAATTCTGAGAGCTGTATTGACTTTATAATTTGTTTGTAAAGCATAAGAATGGTAAGATTTTGAGCTTGCCATTGTTTCCAATATTAATGGTCATATTGGTGAACAGAGTTTTTGACCACCTATTTTGTATATTAGGAAGTAAGATTAGCAATATCTGAAGTACAAAAACTTAAGCCATGTATTGGATAACTTGCCTAAAACTCAACTGGTGAAGATCTTAATGAACATTGCAGACACTGAACAAAGAGTATTAGGAAGAATAATTTCCATGGGAAATGGATGCTGGACAGACAAAACCAAGGTGTCATTGGGTAGTTCAATGAATGTCTGCTGATTGATTTACTTAACTTCCCCGTAGGACAGAAGTAAAGTTCGTGTGTTCTGTTCTGTAATTTACCTTCATCCCAAATACATTATGGCTACACAATATAATATGTTTGGTAAAAGCATAAATAATCTTTTATCATTTGAATATTATTTAATGTTGAATATGTTTTCTTAGCCAGTTAAGTTTGTGTGGGGAAAATAGCAAATCAAGCATAAATAGAATAGTGTCCTTTAGAAATTAATGTTATGAAACCTCTGAGAAAACTAATATTGACTTTATTCAAAACTATTTATTGAGCAATGCCTTAATTTTATTTCTAATCTTTACTTTTTAGAGCTGGAAGATAAACAGAAATCTACAGCTAGTACCTCTTCAAATGTTAATTTGTTCTTACAAATGTTTTAATCAACGTGGCCCTAACCGGTTTGGAATTGCTCAAGTGTAGAGCAGGTGAGAAACTCATTTAGAGCTTCACATGATTTGCCCTGTCAGCTCGGCACACAGATTATGCCCTAACTATGAAATCAGGTGGTGTCTCATCTCTGTCAATATGTTAAGCAAAGAAAGAAAAATAATTACTTGTAAATATCTCAGTTTAAGCATTACAACCTAGATTGTTTAGACTCTAGGTGTGCTGTTTCTTCTTTGTCTTAAAAACAAAATAATAAATAGAAAAATTAAGATCTGTGTGGCATGTGAGTGTTATTTTTTCCTGTCATCTTATGACCACCGCTCTCCTTTTCTAGTATTAAGGGACTTTGATGGAAACACAGTTTGCAATGGAAAGAGAATCACTTTTTAGTATTAGACAATGGTATCACATTTGTATAACTCAGTTGAGTTCTTATTATTTTATTTTTATTTTTCTAAATCCTCACCTGAGGATATTTTTCCATTTATCTTCAGATAGAGTGGGAGTTAGGGAGGGGACACAGAGAGAGAGAAAGAGAGAAACATTGATGTGAGAGAGACACATCGACTGGTTGCCTCCCGCACAACCCCAACAAGGCCTGGGGACGAAAATGCAATTGAGGTACCATGTGCCCTTGACTGGAATCGAACCCATGACTCTAACCCATGACTCTTTGGTCCAAGGGCTGATGCTCTAACCGCTGAGCCAAAAAACCAGGGCTGAGCTCTTATTTTTTTAAGAGACAGTAATATCTTATCCACAAAGGTAAAACCTTTATCCCACTTAAAAATTAGTAAAAGGCTGGAAACCCAGGGTTGGTTACTTCTAATATCACCTTGTTCATTTATGCCCCCCTCCACTCCTGCCAAATGAAACTGACTGAAGCTAGGGCAGTAGAGCTGAAATAAGAATTTGGCCCTTTTTCTACAAAGGACAGCAGAAAAGTAGGGAAAGAAGTTATAAAACATATGATATACACTGCACGGATAAGTAGTTTTTGCAAGTGTGTCCAACAGCATCCAGATCACTTGAGAAATTGTTAGAAATGCAAATCATCTGGCCCCACCCCAGACTTCTAAATCAGAAATGGGGCGGTGTGTGTCTCAGCAGTCTGTTTTAAGAACTCCTCCAGGCAATTTTGATACAATCTGCTGTGTGTTCAGAAAAGCAAGAAGTTTAATCACAATTTTACATTTAAACTCCACTAGAAGTATGTGTGTGCATAAACTATTTGGTGGTTCTTCTGGTGCAAAGCTGAGTGGATTTTCATATTTCATAAATTACCATATTACCATGTTAGCTTCCCAAATAGGCCTTTTATTAGTTCACTTTAGGAAATAGTTATTCATGCATCAGAGGTGCCTCAGGCATACCCGGGAAGCCAAATCAATGGAGCGCATATGAGAGGCCCTCAATTCCAAAGAACACAAGAGTCAAGTTCCTACGGAGACAGATGGGGGCCTCAAGGTAACTTTCTAAAAGTTCCATTAACTAAGAATACATTTTAAAAACTAAAACACAAAACACAAGTAAAAATGAAAGTCATGGGAGCTCATTAAAAATGAGTTACAGAAGTAAACTGTAGTTAATAGAGGAAAAACTGCTCAGTAAGTTCATTTTGACTAGGGAAATAGCTTTACACTCCTGATGCTATTGGAAGGAGTGTTTTGTTTACCCTTTTAACCCCATGACTCAGCCAAAATTTATGTGCCATCTTGATTCCAGGAAGAAAATTGCATCCATTTATTCATCTATGTGCTTATTTATTTAACAAATATTTCAGGTATCCTTGGGGCTCAGCTGACATAAAAAGAGAATGTTGACTCTATACCTGTTCATCCTATTCTCTTCAGAGGTGATCAGTGACTGCTTACCAATCCACCTGCTTCCTTGCAATTTTGGGCTCAACTGAGCATCTTTTGCTTTAGGTTTATTTCTTATTTATCTGACAGCCTATTTCCCATAACTTTAACTGAGCTATCTTCTATACCTTTCCCCCCAAAACAAGGGTTTATGAGATTCTCTACTCAGTCCCATTTTCTTCTTTCTCACCACTTTTTCTTTACCTGAAGGAACCTGTCTACTCCCACCAGTTTCATTTAGCTTCATTTTTCACACCTGAGTCGGTAGCGCCTATCTCTTTCTTCATTTTTAACCCATGTTTCCAAGCTCCTCAACTTTAACATGTCTGTTTTACATCATTTTTTAAATTCTCACCTGAGCACACTTTTTTATTTGTTTTCAGATAGAGTGGGGGAGAGAGCGAGATAGATAGATAGATAGATAGATAGATAGATAGAGAAACATTGACTGGTTGCCTCCCACACGACCCTGACCAGGCCTGGGGATGAACCACAACTGGGGTACGTGCTCTTAACTGGAATCAAACCTGAGACTCATTGGTTCAAGAACCAATGTTCTACGGCAGAGCCAACCTGGCAAGGGTGACTGTTTTACCTCTTCACAAAATGTTGGTTTGCATTTATTCATGTATTAAACAAGTATTTATTGAGGGACTACTCGCTGCTGGCCACCATTCTCTGTTCTTGGGATATAGCAATGAACAAAACTGAGATGGCCCTTGCTCTTCAAAAACTTACAGTCTAATGGGGGAGACAATAAAAAATAGACCAATAATATGGCGATATGTACTCTGAAGAGAAGTAAAATGCAACTGGAGAGATAGGGAATGATCGGAATACTCTTTATATAGGGCAGTCTGAGAAGGGAATATTTGATCAGAAATCCAAAGCGTGTGAGGAGGGAATGAGTTCTCAAGCTATAGTGAACAGAACCAGTTGAGTGTTTGGAAGGCTGAAAGCCCATCACGATGCTAGAAAGCACCAAATAAGTGAATGTGTGCTAAAAAAATATCACGACTCTGCCATCGGGAAATTCAGTGTTGCGAGATGCATGGTTCTGCAGCAAGCGTCACCATGGGAACCAGATCTGCCTGTGCCCTGTGGGGCCACACTCCATGCTCTGAAGCATTGGTTAATTAAATACAAACTTCAATATTATTCTGATTGGGGAAGGGTATGCAGTAAGAAAAGAATCACAGTTGATTAATAGCTATTCACGGTACTAATTGTCGATAAGAGATTTATCTCACAGACCCTGGGAAGCGGTGGAGAACATGTAAGAAGAAAAACAGAGGCTAAAGATAAGTGGCCTTGAAGACCAGATGGCCCGTTACTCAAAAGAAGATACATTTAGAGAGGAAATCAAGGACAGGACCTGCCTGAAGGGAGACAAACATGTGGGGACTGAAGGGAGAGAACTCTGGGGGCTAATCTTGACAAGGGCAATGACAGGAAACAGACCCAGGGAACTCGTAGTTTTAGATTCTTTCCCACTCTCTAACTCTATATGACAGTGGCTAGAGACAGATGGGAGAGCGCTTTTTTGGTTTTGTTTTGTTTCTTTTTTGGCCCGGGGAGGGGGGTTATACCTGCTGCTCTCTTGGATCGCCAGCATCTGAATAAAAGTATCTCAAAGATTAAATCTTGTCTCTACTTATTGACTCTGGTAGCAACAGGCAGCCCAACTTGGTTCTGGTTTCAAATTCTGGTGACTCCTCTAGGACAGCAGTGGGACTCTCAGGTAAGTGAGGTAAGGGTAAGAATCCCACTGGCTACCTGGACTGGGGGTTCCCGGGGCCGGAATTGGAGATCTTTCTTGCAGTGGCTGCCAAGGATTTTCCCTGTGGAACTCTGCTCCCAGCCACAGTGCTCCTGGTGGCCCCGCCAGACTAGAATCAGTGCATTAAGGTGTGTGTGTGTGTGTGTGTGTGTGTGTGTGTGTGTGTATTATTCTCTGAATCTGAAAGTCCTGGGCTGAGCCTAATAGGCTCTAGATCAAAAGAACTTTTCTGGTTGCAAAGGTGTGAGATGCCTCTGCCTGGTTGGTTTATAATTTTTTTTTTTATCCTCACCCGAGGACATGTTTCCATTTTTTATTCAGATAGAGCGGGAGGGAAAGAGAGGAAGAGAGAGAGAGACATCGATGTGAAAGGGACACATCGAGTGGCTGCCACCCTCACGACCCAACCAGGGCTGGGGACAAACTGCAACCGAGGTATATGCCCTCAGCGGGAACCGAACCCGGGTCTCTCTGGACCGCAGGCCGACGCTCTAACCGCTGAGCCAAACCGGCCAGGGTTGCCTTGTTGGTTTAGATGAGGGGCAAACAAGCCAGGGACTCCACCTCTGGGCATGCAGGGATATTTCTCCAAGCTTGTACATTTCTGCTACTCTGTAACGTTTCTTATAGATATATGTGTATAGTAATACAGTTCTTTCTGTCTGTTTTGTTGGTTACTAAGGGAAATTAATAAAATGGGGCCAAACATACCCCACTTTAGCTAGGGTCCCAGCTACTTGTGGCAGGCTGACCCCATGGCAGGGATTGCAGGAACTTCCCAGCACCTGCCAAGAGGTCTTTATCTCAGGGATTCTCCTTCTCCAGGTGTCAGATGCCTGATGCTTAGCTGGTGAAAGAAAACAGGTCTCTGGGGAGTCAGTGGACTACAAGTCTGACTGGGTAAGTGAACCGGGTATGCACGCCAGGGGTCCTTTATCACTGTCCTCTGGACTTTTTAGCCACCTGGGACTCAGAAAGGAGTCATCTGCAGTACTGTTTTGGCAGGGGATAAGACTCTCTGACTTTAATCCAAGTTCCTCCATGGGAGGAATCAGCTTCTGTCTGAGAGCTCTGGTCTGTCTGAAATGAAACTTCCCTTACAACTGCTCCTGCTTGTGCCTTTATCTTATGGGGACTTTCTTTGATCAGTGCTGTTTTGTAACTCATTTGTTTTAACCTTTTATTTGCTGTAGATTTTGTTTTTGTTTCTGTTTGAAACAAACAGCTTGGTCTCAGTTCCATCAGAGAGTCCATTAGGTTATGTTAGCTAATTGGTCAATTTAATTCAATGACTAATTAGGATTGTTTTGCTAAAGGTCTGGTAAATAGGTATATGATCTCTTATGTCCAAGCTTTTATGTTGTTACATCATAAGGATCCTACTCAGAAAGGATCT